ATGTGATGACAGGGATTTTCTTTATTATTTATTACTCTATCCCCTGTATCTGGAACATAGCGAGCACTCAATAAATATTTACAAAATAAGGGAAGAAAAAAGATGAAGAGAAAGAAAGAAACTGACTTGAATTTTTTCCTGAAAACTCTATAGTATCTTTTTAAAAACAACTTTTTGGGGGATACACAAAAATCAAATTAGAAAGCACACAGAGGGGCACCTGGGTGGCTCAGCGGGTTAAAGCCTCTGCCTTTGGCTCAGGTCATGGTCTCAGGGTCCTGGGATTGAGCCCCGCATTGGGTTCTCTCTGCTCAGCAGGGAGCCTGCTTCCCCCTCTCTCTCTGCCTGCCTCTCTACTTGTGATCTCTCTCTGTCAAATAAATAAATAAAATCTTTTTTTAAAAAAAAGAAAGCACACAGAATTTGAAAATATTACTTACCAAAGTCCATTCTATCTTTCTGGTTTCTCTGAAGGAATCCCAAGAGGAGATTAGCCAAGTAAGGTGATGTTTCTCTGGAAATACTGGGGGAAAGGAAGAAAAAGACTCCCAAGTGGTGAGTTTATACAGATTAACCACATGACTTTTGCCTTCATGATAGTAAGTGAGAATGTATATGCAGATTCACAAACACATCTTAAACCAAGAAGATCATGGTAAAGCCTCATTCCTTACAGAAGAAAAAGAAAACAAAAAACAAAACACTAAGCAACTGCCTTTGAGAAAGGGCATCCATTCGGGAGGTTCCTGCATTGTGCTTATTGATATTATCTGAGTATGTGCAGGCATAAAGCACTTCAGAAGCACAATCAGCCTGGCACTCATATTTGCCAGAACTCTCTATTAGAAGAAGAGCCACCTCCCATTGTCTGGAAAATGGCACAGCTCCGATTCGAGTGAGAAATAATACAGCTTCCTAAAATCCACTAAGAAAAAGACAAACCAATAAAAAAATGAGTAATAGGATGGTGCAATTCACAGAATTAAAAACTACAAAAGGACATAAGACAAATGAAAGAGTGCTAACTTTATTAGTAAAGAGAATAATGCAAATTAAAGAGCCAATTGGTCCCCTTCTGTTTGTGAGGCACCTGCTGTGATAACATCCCATGTTGGTGAAACTGTGGGGAAACAAGCACTCTGTCGTGGTGCTGCATTAGCTAATTGGGAAAACATCCCTTGTGGCCTCCTAATTCCATGTCCAGGAGTCTATCCTAAAGAAATACACAGGACTGTACACCAACACACACACACTTCACTAAACTCTGTTTGGAGTAACCAAAAAATGAAAACAAGGATCTGATTAAACAAAATATGACACATTTAGCCATGGAACTCTGAACCGTTTAAAAGAATGAAGTAGTTCTCTATATCCTGACGCTAATTGGTGTCTATGATACACTGTACAGTAAAAAAAAAAAAGTTGCAGAGGGGCGCCTGGGTGGCTCAGTGGGTTAAGCCGCTGCCTTCAGCTCGGGTCATGATCTCAGGGTCCTGGGATCGAGCCCCGCATCGGGCTCTCTGCTCAGCGGGGAGCCTGCTTCCTCCCCTTTCTCTCTGCTTGCCTCTTTGCCTGCTTGTGATCTCTCTCTGTAAAATAAAAAAAAAAAGTTGCAGAACAATTTGCCAAGTATGATGTAATTTGTATGACACATGTACGTGTACATATCTACAGAAGGTACAGAGCCAGCCCATGTCATCCTGGAGAGCAGGGAAGACTGAGGGAGGGGCTGACTGCCTAGTTCACGCACATCTGTTCTGTTTGTGTCTCCCTTCCCCCCAAGAACATGTAAAACTTCTGTGTGTGTGTGTGTGTGTGTTTTTTTCCTTTTAAATATACTTTACATTTTAAAAAAGAAAAAAAATGGTACAGAACTATCCACGCACCTATGATGCACCAGTAATTTTCAGATTTCTGGTTAAAATAAATGTTCTCCCATTACTGTCAATGAAGAATGATTCAAGACTGGAAACCGGTAACACGAGTTCAAATAATGCTGCATTCACAGACAGTAAAACCCAGCATAACCAAACACGTACCTAAGCATTAAGCTCCTGGTTTTTTTCATAAAACATCCTGAGGTCTTGAGGACTATTGGCCTGTGTAAAAAAAAAAAAACAAAAACAAACAAACAAAAAAAAAAAAACAACAACAACAAGGCTTTATTCCCTAGACAATGGGGGCAGAAAGTTCAAATCACATGATCCATGCTCAAATGCTTGCTCTAAAGCACATATTCTGAACCTGAAAGTCCTGGGTTGCAGAAGGAGAAGGACCCACAGATGGGCACCAGGAACTTAAAAACCTCTGGAACTTTGTGCGAATTCTGCCTATCTGGACTTAGGGTATCTTTGCCGAGGTCAGCCTCCCAGAGGAGCCCAGAACTTAGGAAGAGTTCAGAACCACTACTCTGGAGGTCACCCAGCCAGCCCAACACCTACATTTTTATTGTGTAAAATCAGGGTATGTTTTCTCTTAGGACTTCCAAGGGCACAAGGAAGGGAAAGAAACAAACAGCTGCCTCTCAGTCCCTCCTGGACAGCAGATGCCACCCTCCCACACAGTAAGAGCTGCAGGATTAGTGGTGCTCCCCCCAACCTGTCCCTCCCACTGCCACTCTGTACCCAACGGGGCTGAGAGGGTAAGTGTCTAAACCAGGCAGGGCACTGATTTTACATCCTTTTTTACTATGTTTATTCTATTCCAGTTTTCAGGTTCAGAAAAACCTCTCTGTAACCGGGCAGTATGAACTCATCGCGATTAGTTCTAGAGGGCCTCTTTCTGACAGGATGTGAGGGGAGTGGAGAAGAGGGAAGAATAACCCCAAATAATGTCCACCAAAACTAAACCATTAGCCTTCTCTCACCCAGCAGTGCCAGGACCAGGAAGCTGGAGGCGGTTTCCGCTCATCTTCCTAGACCAGACCTAGCCCTCATGTGGAGTGCAGGGCCTCCCACACCCAGCTAAGCAGGAAGTGCGGAACATCCCTGTTCACACCACTTCCCACCAGGGTGTCAGTCCTGTCCCTGGCTAGTTGTCACCAGCCTGGGAAACATAAAGCAAGCTTTATGCCCAGGCCAACGACAAAGGGAGGGCAGATAAAAAAAGGAAAAGCAAAAGATGTTCTGGCTCACTATAGCAGTTTCTGCCTGTAACAAAATCAAAACAAGTCACAAGGGAACCAAAAACACCATTTTCAAAGTATTCCCTGTTTTCTAAGTCAAAGGCAACTGCAAAATGAGAAGATCCCAAAACTGAGCACAGAAATAAAAAGTCCGGCTACCTGAGAAGGTGGTTTTCCAACTAGGCATTGATATATCACTGTTCCTATGCTCCACAGGTCTGCTGTAGCACCATAAAGTTGAAACATAATAACTTCAGGAGCCTGGGGATAAAAACATACCAGACACATGCATGATGTTATTTATCTTNATACCAGACACATGCATGATGTTATTTATCTTACTAATATTGATAAACTAACTGGTAAAGTTCACACTCCTAACAAATACTAAAATGAGATCACACTACCACACTTCCCTAATCAGATGACCCTGGTGTGAGCTTAAACTACATTCAAACACTGGGATTTACTAGTAAATCTCAAAAACAACATTGTATGAAAAGAAGCAATTTATAGAAACAAACATTTCTATATATTAGTATGGGACAGCAATGCAGTAAGAGTATTAAGGTTATAATAAAAATACACACCAGCTACAACACAGAGGTGACTTCTGGGGTAGAAGAGTGGGATATGGGAAGAGGGAAAGATTTAAAAACTCGGGCTATTGCTGAAATATTTTACTTCTTTCTTGGGGAAAAAAAAAGATCAAGGCACACATGGCAAAATTTTACCTTTGTTAAAAATGGACAGTAAGTACACAAGTGTTTGTTGTATTACTCCCTGTTTTTCCGCTCATTTGAAAGCTTTTAAAATAATACACAAAGTATGAAGAAAATACAGTAAGGACTGTCTTAAAAGCAAAGGCATTTGTCTTCTCTGCTGCTTTGTTACAGCTCTCTTCCCACCTCTTACTGGATGCTGCTTCTTAAAAATGCCAATAATCTGGACAAACATTAAACAGAAATGTCAAACACACTCAAAGCCAGAGAAACTTTATTTTCCAGGAGTACCATTTTTAGCTGTCATCCCTGGTAAGCTTCTCACTGACTTAGATCAGAGGAAATCCTTACTGAACATAAGCCCATTTTACACTTAGAACTGAGACAGTAGATGCATTTACTTGGCAGAATTCTGAAGCTCCAGAATTAAGCTACTTCCAGGCCTGATGCTTCCCACTGGTCCAGAATTTTCATAGCCTTCCCTTTTCAGACATGACAACATCCATACAGAAGGATGAAGATGGAACTACAATTTTCAGCTTTACCTCTAACACTAACTGAAAAATCTTCTATGACCCAGGGATCTTGTCAAGAGAAACAACATGAAAAGATGAGCATGTTCACCCTAAAGATGAGGAAATGCCCAAGAGGGTTTTTGTTTTTGTTGTTTTCCCTAATATCACACACCAAGTACAGCATGACCACACTTCATCAATCTGTATTTTCAATTTACTCTAACAAGGAATTTTTTACCACTAATCACTAATTAAAAAAAAAAAAAAACTTAAGCTAAAAAAACTCCATGCTGGGTGTGGAGCCTACTTAAAAAAAATCAGCTAATAGGTAAAAGTAACCTTTATAGTCCACTATTTTAAAGCAAAAGATGACTTAAAGCATTATCAGTAATACGATCACTGTTAATAATACAACAGTTTAGGCTACACATAAAATCACACCTGAACTAGAAATCAGCATCATACTTAAAATCCCAGTGCTAATGGCACCATACACAGGCAAGGACAAAAAAAAAACTCACTCACCATGTACACTGGGGACCCACACAGTGTTGCAGCCATCATGTTACTCTGCAGGTAACAGGCAAACCCCAAATCCTCTAGTCCACAAAATAAAAGGGAGAAAAACAAAACATACTTTTACTCACACTTCACATAGATCACACCTTCAGGACACAAGAGGGCACAAAGGAACTGTGAGAAATTTGCAGCTTATTGG